AAACTAGCAGGAAGACTATTTTGCTAGTTTCCAAATAGTCGTAGAAGCAACCCCGGTGAAATTGTTAATTCATTTTTTGTTCAAATAAACTCAGTTCTGCTAAATGATAAATTGGGTATTTCTTTTACTCTCTTCTGCTTTAGTTTTAACCAAATGTGGGAAGACTTGATGGAGCTAATTAAGAGCCGAAGTGCACACCTGACCGCTCTTAACGCAGTGGTCCCAAAGAGCACCTCGACGCTGGATGCACAGGTGAAGAAACACGAGGTTTTGGAGGTCGAGGTTGTTCAAATGCAGCAGCAAGTGAGTTTTAGTTTGTCTCGCTTATCGTGAATTCATTAAAAAAGCCTCGTGATCCCCTTGAGCGCTTGAGTGATGCCCACGTCAATTACTGACACTGCCTAGCAATTGACGAGGAAAACTTGGCTTGCCTTTTTATTACCAGTCTTAGTTACTCTTCCCATCTCCCCTGCCAAAAAACAGCTCATCATAATCAGGCGAGAAGGTTCTGGGGGAGGCATCTGCAGCACGAAAAGTCTCCCAGCAAATGCCTTGCCATAATGCCTCATTGGGCATTAAAGGTAGCGTACTTAATCTTCAATAGGCAGTAAACAGCGCCTACAATATACTTGTCATTATCAGGGGACACGCAATGGTATACTAAGGCAATGAACTCGTTACTGAATGCTTTCTATATCATTTCTAAACGTATGGGTTGCATTCAGCACCTGTTGCATAGCATTTTGGCACAGTACAAGGCCTCAATGGAACTGTTTGCGCCACAATTCAAACAATGGAAGAAAGTAATTGTGGTTTTGTATGACACCCTGATGCCTCCGAGCTTCCAGACCTTATGGTCCTTATCAACGATAAAACTAAGCCGAGTGTGATTTTAAGTCATAGTGATTTGTGAAAGTTTTTTCCCCTGTGCTTTGCAAACGCAAAACTGAAGGGTAATCCAGTGGGGGAAGCTCAGCGCCAAATAAGTATGGTGAAATCTCCTCCTACACAAGCTGCAATAAGGGTCTACGTGTTGCCAAGGCTGTGTGAGGCTATGCATTGTCTTGGTAGTACATGATATCTTTGCCTCCTTGGTTTGTACTACCTTTTGATAGTAAACGTCTGAGTTATATCTTGTTCTCAGCTTGAACTAAGCACCATTATTGAAATTTCATTAACCTAATAACATGAACAATTTGTTGCATCCAGCTTTCAACGTGGGTAATGCTGGTTCATTACGCCTGGATGATAATCGATCACGATCGATGGTAGACGCTCATTTGCTAAGCTTTAAAGCGATTGTATCAGAAGCCAGCAACTTCATCGCACTTTAGATGCATGTTGCAAATGTTGATTTGGTGTGTTGTGTAAATTTCTTTTAATTCGTGTGGGATTAAAATGTCGAGTCTAAGATTACTTTAACTTATGACCAATTTGCATGTTCAGTGAATTCAGCTTCTTTGCATTCTTGTACACATGCATTTGTCGATCCGATCTAATTATAAGTGAAACGCTTTTCATCAAACAGAACAGCACATTTGTCATCTTCGAGTGAAAAATCCCTGGAATGAATTTTAGACCAATTCTGATACATGCGTTCTGCTAAGCAATTTGTAAGAATGTAGACTCCATCTTGCAGGAGAATAAGTTAAAATGTCTATTTTTGTGTCCCATATTTGATTTGAATCTGAGCTAGTATCTGCAAGCAAATTTGCACACAACTTGCTTCTGAAGTAACTTCACACTGATACCTGTCAAATTTCAAGAAGAGAATAGCCAAACATTTAAAAAGTCTTTCAATTTAAAAAAAAATTTGTCAGATATTAACAGTGAAACTAAAATGTGGATTGGTAATCTTGAGGCAGTGTGTCCGTATCCGACTGACCATGCTTTCTGTTATTTGGTCAATTACTACGGGTCCAGGAAAGTCGTTTGCTATAGAGGCTTTCGAAAGAATAAACATCGTCAAAGTAACCGGCTTATTTGTTGTAGGTCGATGATGTGATGCGTGCTGGACAAGAGTTGCTGGCACACCTTCGAGGCTCCAAGCCCCAAGGAGAAAAACGGCGTTCCAAAACAGAGACCCAGGTGATGGACCGCCTTGCGCGTCTTTCAGAAGCCTGGAAGGACATTAACGTCAAAATGGCGGAAAGACGGAAGCGGCTCAACGATTGCAGTCGATATTTACAATTCTGTGAAAAGGTTAGCCTCGGAAGTGGTCGAGATTGTTGGGCTTTTTAAGAAGCATCATAAGTTATTACGACTTGAGGACGATCCTTAAAAAATTGGGGAGAGAGGAAAAAATGTACATATTGATTTGGTTATTTTCTGTTATCTGTTATGACTTTATTTGATCAAACCTTGTGGCCAGACACCTGTCCAGTTCAAAGCCCTATTTAAGTTTATGAAATACCCAAATAGACCAAATAATTTGCTTACTTTAGGTTCGAGATTTCCTTTTCTGGTGCGATTCGGCGGAGCATGAGATAAGCACGATCGAACCAATAGCTAAAACAGCCACCGAAGTGTTTGTCACAGTTGGCCAAAAGCTGTCCGCAAGCCAAATGAACGGAACCACTAAGGGACCCGATTCCATCGACTGCAGCCAGGCCGAACTTCTGCAGGCCAATTATTTACGAATGTCCGAAGAACTACAACACCACTGGAAGCCGACGTCCATGCAACTGGTGGCTGAGGCGGAATCCATGATTGACGGGAACCACTACGCGGCTGGTGATGTAGGTGTACAAGATCGAGTTTTTACGCAATCCCTGTAGTCCTTTATCGTAAATTGAAAATGTGCGTAAGCACCTCTACTTATTGGGATCATTGAGCATTAACTTGATCATCTGTGCTAAAATGGCCATCGATAAGGGAATGTGAAAGTGGTCACAGTATACTCTACCATTGTGCATCTGTTAAGTGACGAATGCGGATACTATTGTATTGAGCTCAAAAAACGTATAAAGCTTTTTAGTACAAACAATTTTTCTCCCGTTTAGTTTACACTTAAAGCTGAGTAACCTTGTGAATGCACGATTAAGGCGTTTTTTTTTAAATTTTCTCAGCTTAAGAACAAGGTGGATCAAATGGTGGTGGCCCAGCGTTCGGTAGAAGATGGTTTGAAAAATTACAATAGATGGGTTCTACAGCTCCTTGACTTACTTCTGTTAAGGCGTGAGATTTCTAAATTCATTGGTCAGACGGCGGTCCAAAAAGCTCGAATCGAAGCGATAATGCAGGAGTGCAGCAGTTATCCCACCACTCCAAAATCCTCCAGCTGCGACAGGCTTGTTTCAAGCTTCGATGTAAGTCCCACACTGCTTCGCTGATTATGTCGCTTTAACTCATGGGCTTGTAAGCTATGATCTTCGATTTCTCTCGTCTTTTTCAAATGCTAAAATTCGCATAGACTTGTGTTCTTCAGCGGATATTTGCTTCTTCTGTTTAGGAAAAATCGAGGTGGTGAAAAGGGTTTGAAAAAAAAGTCCTGTTACCACCTAGTAGCTGTGCTCCTGTGCACTTTCATCTCCATAAATAGGAGACAGAAAATGAGTCAGCTCTATTACTTGGATATTGCTGAGACTATCTTGGAAAATGACAGAAATAACAGAGAGGATCACAACTATTCTCAGAGTTTTCGATTGTCAAGCGAAAGTTCTTTTACGTTCCATTGATATCCCAAAAATGTAGTCTGGTTGCGTTGACTATCGTCCAGCTTATGTTAAGAATACCTATCCCTGCATTCTTTGCTCGGTATTCCATCGGCACATTGACAATTTCATAAGGTGGAATAAACTGCGTAATTGTTTGTACATTGACCAATGAGACCTTGCCATCACCTTCCCTATTCCCCTTGAATTGGGTTTCCGTCCATCCAAACTTAGGTCACAAGCATGCAACGGAGAACTGAGAATATTGTCAAGTCTATGCAAACGAACGAGGACAAGGTCGCATCGTTGGTGTCAGCGGCTAATTTAATGATTCAAAAGAAACATTATGCCTCCAAACAAATCCATGAGGTGATCAGCAGAATGCAGACTGCCAGGGCTTCAGTCAAGCAGGTAACTTTTGTTTTTCCACTTTATCACATTCTTCTGCTCCTACTTTTTATATCTGCCAGTTTGGGATCTCTAAATCAGTTTCAATTTAAGGAGCAAAGCTGGGTACACTTGTACTATGAGCATTCAATGATAAGTCTTCCCAACTCCAGCACATTTCATCCCGTTAAGTCACTAGAACGGGGCTGTGACAAGGAGCAAAAGTTTCAGTGGTGTGCATTTTAAGAAATCTCGATCGAAGCAGCTGTTTTTTGCGCTGCTTCAAAAACTTAGATCAACACGATCCCCGTCCTACTAATTCGCCTTGTATGTTTTTGCGTCAGCCAACGCTTTCGTTCTCGCATTAACCTTTACGAAGTCTGCTCCAGCAGTACAAACAGGCTTTCTTGTTCCTCCGTGGTCCTAGATGCAGAGTGTAACATATTCAAGGTACAAAGTTCGGCTTCAATGCGTACCAAAATGGGTCTGATTAAGGTAGAAAGACAGGGAATTTTGAATGAATAGGAGCAAATTAGACGCTAAGTTTGCTGTTAAAACTTGTTTTTAAATAACCCACGGTAACTTACGTTGAATTGAATGGCGAAAATAGCTTCTTTTAATTACAAAGACTCGTCCTTGAGCTCATCGATTCCTCGAGATTTTTTAACACATATACAGCAAAGCAGATATTAGCACTTGCGAAGTACTAAAATTAACTTCACCCTGTAATATCGATTAATGTCTGAGAAAAAAACGGCGTGTCTTTTTCAAGAGACTTCAGTCCTTTGTACATTAACTTCGTATTATATCGACGTAACTATTATGCTTAAAACTGCAGTTTCAGTAGCACCAGAACTACTGGTGTTGATTTTTTTACCCGTTTTATACTACGCGGGATGAGTAGGGGTGTTTTCTCATGCTAGATGTGCGCCGACCAACTGGAGAGCCTCAACCGTCGCCTCAGCCAGGTAATGTGGGAAGAAGACGCCGACGACGTAGAAGGATGGCTCACGGAACGAGAAGGCGAACTGAAGAATCTCATGAAGACGCCGAAAACTGAAAATATGTGCGAATTCAGTGGGAGAGAGAAGACTTACAAAGAGGGCGAGGTCGCAGTTATAACCCAGCTTCAAATCCTCCAACGCCGGAGCAAGTTTCAGGTAGGCTCCTAGTCGTCTAACTTCTATCTCAATCAACCGGAACCAAGCCTTAAATGCCTATGGGTGCAAACTATTGTCTATTCTGGTCGAAATCTTAATTTCCAGGTTAAAGCACTTTCATTACTTTATCATGAAGCGAGTAAGTAGAATAGGTAGCAAAGGATAGGACATGCCTAGTACATGCAGTTCATTTTGCCGAGATGACCCAAGACTATGATATTTTGTAATTGTCTTTCAGACTTCGATATTAAGCCATAAGGAGCACATTGAGGATTTACTGAACCGTGGAAGGAAACTGGCGGAAATAAATAGGAAAATAAGTGGGAAAGACGTGAGTCCTGTTGGAAAACGAATTGACGATCGCTGCAACGAAATTAACCAACGCTGGAAGAACCTTGTGGCCTCCATGGCCTCCACAGCTGCCGTACTGGAGGCCTCTCGCGACATTTTACGATACCAAAGCGAGGTAAGGCTGTGTTGAAATATTATTATTTTGATTTTGGTTGTTCCAATCTGTGGGGTGTTTTTCAGGGTACACATGCCACATCCACTTTAAGATTCTCGTACCTGATTGTTTTTCTTTGAAGAGAAAGAGCCATCGAATTCGGTTTAGACCGAAATAATGGAATGTAAATATATGGCTAAGTTATTTTTCCTTCCGCTTTAGGCCGACGCAATGGAACGATGGCTGCGAGAAAAGGACATTCTTTTATCCAAAGGTGATTTGGGATGTGATTACGACCACTGCATAATGCTGAAAGACAAAGTAAACGAACCGGCCGCAGGAAAAATTGTGAGTTTCCAGTTAATCTGTCATTCGAAAAGAGGTAGCTTGCATCTACCTATTGTTTTTTTTCTACTTTTTTAAGGTTAACGATGCCACAATCCGCGAGTTCAAAACCCTTGCTAGTAAGATTGCCCATGCCCTACGAAAGCCCACATCGGGAGCTCACGATTCTGTTGTGGCTTTGAGCAAGCAAACTGCTGATTATGTGGATGGACGCACGGCGGATATTTGCGACCGGTGGAAACGCGTTGAGGCGAACCTTGCAAAGTACTCCGACCAACTCTGTCAAGCCGCAAAAATCCACGAGGTGATCAACAAAATCGATGGTCTGCTCCTGCAAGTCAACGACCGCAAGGCCAAGGTACCCATTTACCTCGAGTTATTAAAGCATGCATGAGAATATTTTAAGTTTCACATAAAGCGCGCCTGTATGCTCCGTGAGCTGTCCAACTCTTGAGTTTAATTCTCAGTAATCTATTTCTGTCTCTCTGTTTCAATTAAACTACCAAACGAATTGTTTTCCCGCTGGAAATTTTCTTATTTTTCTGCTTACCATTTAAACCAACACATGATTACTGTCTTCAAGTAAATTTCTATCAAAACTATACATCGTTACGTCTAAATTCTAACCAAATCAACAGTTGTTAACAGGTTTCAAGGAAACACTGTGTGTATCTAACGATGTCATTTGTGCTTTAGGCTGCCATGAGAGACGACCTCAACAAGCCTTTGAGTGTCTCTGAACTGGAGGCGCTCCTAAGGGCTACTGCGACTGCAGAACGGGATTTGAGTGCCATTAAAACGGAGACAAATAAGCTCAAGGAGGGGGCAGGTCAGTTGATAAAATCCTTCTCGCGAACCACACCCAACCAGCAGACAGACGCGCTGATACGGCAGATAAATAGTAAAATAGTAAGTGAAAGCGAATGCACTAATTGTAGGAAATACACAAAAGTGCGGTTGTTAACAGCTGCGATGCTCTTGTTCAGGATCAGTTAGAGGCAGTTACACAAGAGACGACGAGACTTCTGGGAGAACGCAGGGAGTTGATTGAATCTAAGTTGGCAGCTCAAAGAATTCTTGAGGTACGTTGACTTGAATGTAGCCACACCGAAAACTATGTCATGACAGTCTTAAGAAAAATCGGTTCTACTCTGATATTGCAAGTAGATCCTATGATCCCCTCAATTTTAAGTTAGATACACTTATCATTAGCTCTGTCGCAATCACCTCTGCCGGGCAACTAATACTCTCCCAATGAGTACAAATTCTGCTTTTCGATTCAGAAAGAGGATTTCACTTTCCTTGTTTGCCCTAACTGACGCACCTTGAAACGGTCCGTGTTTGATGCACTCGGAAATAAAAAATCTAGCAAAAACCGCACTTGTCTTTGTTCAAGTTTATATGGATGTGATTAAATCCGAGTGGTCAATACTTGATGCCAATCTCATTGATGTTTAGCTGATCGTTTGTAAATGATCTGGTGCATTTTTACTTGGTGTCATAATAACTGAATTTATCATTATATTTCACTAGTGCTTTCGGTGTTTTCTTTTCAGGGTTGCCACCAGCTTGCAGATTGGTCGAATGCCGTAGTGAAGGAGCTTCAGCCTCACATTGTTGGTGCCGCTATGGCTGGTTTGACAGGCAAAATGGCCGGTTTGCTGGCCGCCAAAACAGGCAAGACGGAGGACCAAGGCGCAGAGGAGAGGCGCATAGCGTTTATCGGTCGTCTGCGACGCCGACTCACCGACTGCCAGTCCGAACTCCCACTGAGGCGACAGCAACTCGCCCGACTGCAGACACAGTCACAGCAGCTCAAGGCTGCGACCGTGGAAAGGAAGGCCATTCCAGAAGAGCTGGCGAAAGCCGATGAAGCATTGAAAAGGGCTGCAGACGTCCTAAAGCGATTGGAGATCCAAGTTGACATTGAGGAGAAACGACAGGTGAGTTTACATCTAATAGAATTTAATGCTTAAGTCCTGCACTGATTTTTCACTTTCTGTTCGGCTTAGTTCCTTTTGAATGGCAGAACGTTTAGTGCGATGCGTTTGAGTAACACATCAATCCGTACTCAATGCGCAGATGGTACCAACGAAAGGAAACGTGAGATTTTTAAGAACTCCTTATTTGTTATGCATCGGTCTTCAGCCCCGTGTTGAAATCTAGCAAGAAGACGGTTTCTATCCGGTTTGTCCAAGACGTATTCATAACACCTGGAGGGTTGGATATGTTGAGGGCCCCGGTATGTGGTCTCGAACCACAGTATTTGCCCGATCACGTCACCCCGGCCCCTGAAAACACTAAAAAGACCGGAGGCGGCAGAATCGCAGAAGTTTAGTAGCTGGCATTATCTAGTTGTGCTTGTCCGCCAATGTACATAAAATGTCCCGTCTGACTAATGTGGTCGTTGACACCCATAATCTGGCTGAGCAGGCGGACCCACAAAGCTGACGGGCTCTTTGTGGAAAGAGGACGGTGAATAGGCGAGTACACGAATCACTACAAATATGTTGTACCCTTTTATTCTTATCTGAGAAGTGAATCCATGGCATTATTGGTTCCTGGAACAAAATATGACTCATTTATTTTGCACAAGTTGTATACAATTTTTGGTTTTTTACTTTATCAAAATAATACCTTTTTTAGACGTTCTGATAGTAAAAAATCCTCATTTTTTTCAGAATCTTGCAGCCGCAGGGAAGCAGGAAGAAAACTGGATTAACTCAGTGAAAAGTCAGGCCCAACAGGCTGTGAACAGCGCACTACGTGGTCTTAGGACAGACTCCGATAGCAGCTGCGAGGAGGTTGGTGTGGTTTTCATCTTGCACATCACCTATTCTCTCGGTCTTGACTTTCATTCTTTTGACTTACTGCATCATTTGCGAAGCCACACGCAAACATGAGTGTATTTCAGACTCGACAACGTAATGGTCGAATCGTATACCGGCACGAATTATAGCGTGATTGCGAAAGATACATCTGCTTAAGTTCCGTTTGAACGAAAAGTTATGGGTAAAGCGCTTCAGACTATAAGAGTAACCCCAAAATTCCCGTTATAGCCGTCGCCATGATAAAACTCGTAGCCGGTTCTGGCCAAACACTTCCCGATCACACGTCTGCAATTTTCAACGGCACTGAAGGCCTTCTGTAACATCTGTAGTATCAACGACATCCCTGCTGCCTCAACAGAACTTAAACGGGTATTTCATGTCCACCAAAAAGCAAGTATTCGTTCTGTAAAAGGGCAGTTTTTAATAAAATTCATACCACAACAATTGGCCATCAAGTAAACTAACTTATTTAATATTAACACGTCACAAATATATCATTATTTTGAAAAAAAATGTCTGCTGGAATTATGGACTCAGTACAGCCACTTGTCGATATATCTTTGCCGGAATTCTGGCTTGGCACATTTTCACCTTCACAAATGCTTGGTTTTTCCTTTCCGTGATTTTAGGAGGAGCAGCCGATTATTGTGGCATCCACAAGCGACGCACAACAATCCTCTGCACCGCCTTCGGACATTTCCCCAAACACTTGCCTGTCGTTGCTTGATTCCTTGGCTTCGAGTCTCGAAGATCGCAAAACACTGAAGAACCAGTTTGATGAACTCCAGAAGTGTCATGCAGAATCGGACGCGGTGAAAGAGGTAACTTGTGGCTGTTTACTGGAACGTGTAATTTACACCACGAAGCAAATCGTGGAATTCACTTTGGCTGAATAATGTCATTGGCTAATCTTTGTAGATCTATACTCCAGAGGAGGTGAACGAGGACCGTCAGTTGCTCGACAGGACTCAAGCAAAGACCGCTCAGACAGGACAGTTTATCACTCAAATGCGCGCTCAAATAGCCGCGCGTGCGGAGTGTGATAATTGGTTCGTGTCGGCTAATGAAAGCCTCCAGTGGCTAAGAGACAGTCGTGAGTTGGCTGCCGCTACATACGATTGGCGAGTTACGCTGAAGCGATTCGGAGAAAACATTGCAGGCTCTGAGAAGGATCAAACTTGTGGTCCAAAAGGCACAGGGGGAATGACGCGGAAGATTGCTGCTCATCGCCGCTTCTTAGTCGATGTAAGTTAGGCTTATTTTAGCCTAATGTGTTTTATCCTGGACTCCCGCGTCATTTATGCTGCTAAAAACGTTCTATTAGACTCCTAATGTGTGCTTAAAAGGGGGATCGATTCGTGTCTTGCCTAAACACGTATATCAACCAACCCCACATCTCAAGAAATAACCCACTGTTCTAGCCTGAAAATGCCTTGAACATATGTACAAACTCCTCACTCTATAGCCTGCATCAAATAATAAGAAGGAAGGACGTGTTTAAGTCCTTAAAAGAGGGTGATTCAGTAGTTTCTCAACGATTAGGTTGAAGTTGGCCTTGAAATGGTGGATCGCCTGTGTGAAAAGGGCCAAGAGTTGCGAAAATTGAATCCAAAGAAGGATGCCAAATTCAGTCGCATGATAAATGACTTGAAGGCAGCAGCAGCGGACCTGCGTGAGGTCTGCAAGGAACGCACTCAGCGGCTCAACGAGGCGCATGAACTTGTGCAGTGGGGTCAACAGATGGATGAGGCCAAACAGACCGCTGCACTCACAGAGAGCCATCTCATGTCTGATGACTACCAGATGGGTGAAAATGGATTGAAACGGCTGCTCGAGAAATACGAGGTAATGCTTTGAAGATTTGTATTCATTTCCTCATTCCTCGGATATGTTTTCCTTCTTACCGTCCGTCAAAGCAAGCCATGAATAAAGGATCTTTGTGTACACCCAAACGTAGATCGTCTTTCAAAGTTACTGGAAGTGATCTGCTTCCTGCAGACGCCATATATTACATGTCAAAATGTGATGTTTTCCTTCAAGCATTAAATTCACGCGTCAGACGATGTAAATCTGACCGATAAGTTGCTTTCAACCGTAATCTTTAGTCACTTACCGTTCGTTATTTTAAGCAAGACATTTAGCCACTAAGTAGCATGTTAGTAAACAAATTTGGACAAAATTGCATGCAGATCTTCAATTTTTCAACTGTTCGAATTCATTCGCGAGGAAGCGTCATTCATTCAGTTGTGTCATCACGCTTGCCCAGGCTTAAATACTTGGCATGGAAGACCAAAGAGACAGTGAGGCTCACTGGTGATAAATTTCACCCTTCCTAAACGTCCGACATAATCTTGATGTAATATCTTATCCTGCCAGTTGAGGAACCTCATTTTAAAAATGTTTTCATACAACCCTTCAGCCAGTCTATTTGAAGCTCTTGAACCATCAGAGACATGTTTTGTGAAGGTTGTAGCCCGAGACATTCAGGAGACCCAGGCTGCCAGGGCCGATGGCCTTGTGAAGCGAGCACGCGAAGCGGAGAAGAGAGGACACTTTGCTGGCAGCAAGATGGTCCAGGAGGCGCAGGAGCTGGAGAGCATGGTGAAGGTGACGCTGCCACAGCTGGTCCAGGCCCACATCCAGGCGACTCGGATTATGATCACCTGGCGGCGACTCGAAAAGGACATCCGAGTGGAAAATGATTGGCTCAAGGAGCAGCTTAGTAATCCGCTGCTTGACATTGGGAAACAAGGTGTACGTTTCGCCGACCTTGTTTTATCTTGGGTTATTTGATTTCTGTCTTTTCTGACTGGTTAGATTTATGTATTATGATATTTTAGTGCTTTTTATCAACCTCCATTCGACTGGTTTACTTTCTTGTCATTATTGGTTCGTTAAGTTACAATCTTTAACTAAGTTGATAAATTAATTAATTATTTTGTGCAATTGCATTTTTTTGTTTTAATAATCACTTACATGAGATTGGTAAAACACATTAAAGGATCACATAATCGCAGTAATTATAAGCCCCAACGCGAGGTATATTCAAAGTTAGCAACCATCATTTATGTTACTATGCCAACTTCAGGTGACCGGTTCGGAAAATTAATATACCTACAAGGTGTTGGTAAGGTTGACCAATACGAGGGCAGTGTGGAATGCCGCTTAATACATAGACTAGCTACTAACACCACCTGTGAGTAGCGGTAGTTAGCCCAAAAATGACAAATGGTACCCTGCATTTCGAGCACCTTTTCAAGGGACAACAAAGGCCAAATTTATCGCAGATTGACAGTAACGACCAGCACAAAACAATGCATTCTACTTTAGTGGTTACTTGGGCTGCAAGATCCTCTTCTCGTTAAAGCAGTGCTGCCTTCATTTACAGAATCTCAACTATGAAACCTCGTCCAGACAGCTCAAACTGCTCTCCGAGATGGCTTCCAGGTTGGCAGCCCAAAACCCCAAAATAGACGAGGTCGTGGATGCCGTAACGCGATTGGTCAATTCTGATTCTGGGGAGGCGAAGACGATTCTGGAGGATTTAGATACCCTTCAGGTGGCGTCTCGCTCTGCGAACCAACTAATGAGCCTAAAATCGGAATTGGACTCAAGAATCGGTACTGCCGGTGGTTACTTAATCAGCCAGTTCATGTTTCTTCAGGTAAGAATGCTTTCTAAAAGTTCTTTTTTCACGTAAAGGGTCCGTCAACACCTTAAGCATGAAATCTAAATACGTAAGGCAATGTGCATTGTCTAAATATTCACAGATTCCTCTTTCAAGACAAGTTTTACCTGCTATTGTCTAATCTTTTTTAGTGTGCTCACGAAATTCATGAGGCGGAAGAATGGATCAAGGCACACATGTTCCCAGCTTCAAAGTTAGCCCCATTAACTGATTCTAGTGGCACCAAGGCAGCCAATCAGAACGTCTCGCGCCTTCGCGGTGACTTATCAGCCTTTCTGCGTACAACGATTGGTCCGTTATCTGCGCGGTTTCAACGACCTTCCTTTGTCGATGACACAGGTGACGTCAGTAAGACCCGTCATCAAGAAGCATATCGGAATGTTGTTGGTGAAGACCTCCGGAAGCTCATTCTAAAGCACCAAGGTGACACCGAGTACCAGCAGCCGAAAGACATCAGGACCAACTTAAACCGAGAAATGGTCAGTTTGTGGTTCCCTGTTCACAGTGTAACTTAGTATTTACAGTTTCCCGTGTTTTATCTCATAAGTGTTCCTCGAACTCGGAAGTGTCCGTCGCCCACCTCCTTTGCTACACAAGCCAGCTTTTTTGGAAAAATAAAAAAAACGAGAATATGTGGCTTCTGATGCACTGCACAATCTATGCCAGTTCATTAGGTTAATCCAACGTGACAAAATCCGATTACCATGGTGACTCAAATCGCATGTCCTGTGCGTGCTTCGTTCCACGGCTGTTCGATTTTATCATGGTGTCGAGGGTAGAACAAGGTGGCGGGTGTATATGTGCTTCTTTTGCTCTGCCTCCATGTTTTCCGTTGTTGATTGGACTCAGAGAGTCATGGTGTTCTCATTGGGACTTAAATCTGCAGTCTGAATAAAATAAGATCTGCCGACAAGTAAAAATCACGCTTATCAGGTCTTTTAATTGTCTCTTTTTTAATTTTTAACTCATGCCTTTGTTACAGACCGATTTGACCGAAAACAGCCATTGTAAAATGGTGTTTCGTTATATTTTAGTCTCAGCTTTTGTTGCACTTCGATGTACTAACGAAATATTTGGAGCTAATTGAATTGCGGCTGAGGCTGAGAATCGGGATGTTTTCGTACAATACCCAAGCGGACGAGTTCAACAAATTTCTTTCCAGTCTTGAAGAAGATATAAACAGCCGATACTATGGAGTAGATTTGGAGGAGTGCGAGATCCTTTTGGCCAAATTCGTCGATCGACTGGAGGTAGGTTTTGTTCTAAAAAGTATGTTACTGATGTCTTAAGAAGTAGGGATAATTTATTTTCATACCTTCCTTAGAGCACATCCAATTCTGGAACCTCTCAATTGACAAACTTGACAAAGAGCGCCCAGCAACTCACAGACAGTGCTGATGAGCTGATGGACAAAATTGATACAGAAAAGCAAAAGGCAGAAAAAGCTAGCGAGTGGATTCCTGTAGCGAAAGAACTTCGTGATCTTGGCAGTAGCATCAAGGTGGACACGAAAGCTATCCAAGAAAGACAAGCCGAACTTACACAGAAGTGGGCTACAACCAGAACAGGCATGAAAACTAGAAAGGAGGTAAGTCAAACCATTCAAAAGAACCCAAAATTGTGCTGAGACTAACTGTTTTAAATATTTCTAAATAGGCTCTCCAGTCGGCGATACAAATTCACACCTACATATCTGATGTGAATGACTTGCTGGAGTGGATTGCCTCGAAGTCTCCTGAGGCACGCGACAACAAAATTGGCATCGCCCTACTTAGCAGAGTTGCAAGTATGCAAACGAAACAGGCAGAATTGAATCTGCAGAGCGCCGCTGGCCTTGAAAAGGCTCTCAACGCACAGGAGAAACTGCGTCGTGAAATCAACGCCATGCAGAAACAGGTGGACAAACAGGAGAAGTAAGTACATTCCACGCAAGTACAACCAGTAATGTGAATCGAATTTATTATGTACGTTGTACTGATCTTGCCATAAGTATTTGTCCTTCAAATATACACATGTCCACCTGTATGAAACGCAACTCAGATATCAACTTCAATCAACCCCCACGACTTTGTTACTGTGTTTGAAAGTTGGCTACTTGAAAAAAGGCAGTGCTTCCTTAGAGAACCGTAGTAGTGTGCCATCTACGACACTCTCTTGTCCCCTAATACCTTATTAGTTAATGATAAATTAACAAAAACGACTTTGGTCAATTAGTAATGCAGTGGTGAACTCACGAACGATGTTTCAGTGCCACGAAAACGTCAAGTTTGTTGTGAATCGTGTTTATCTTGGATTATCTTCGCACCTAGGTCTTGGTGTTAGCGCATCTATGACTAACGCATCTGAGGTATAAATGCACACGCACAAACCCCACACAACGACACCAACTCGGTTGAGCTCTGAAGTAAACGGTTGTGTTCACATCCTCTCCGGTCCTTTTCTTCATCGTGGGTATTAGGGAGGCGTAATCGGGCCAGGGTTAATTCAGTGGCCCCGGCGTGGTTCAAGACCACATGCTGGGACCCACAACAAATTCCTTGCGAGCTTGACGTACTTTTGGTTTTTGTAGCATCCTCAGGCATTGCATAAATCACATTATGTCGTAGCTTTTGGATATTTCAAACATTTTAGCAAAAATGAGCTTCTTAAATGCGCTAGGGGTGAACTTGGTACATACAATTCCAAAAATTATTGGGTTTGATGACGTCATCTCGGTTGGTGTTCGATTAGTCATTTGCTAAAAGCGTCAGTGAACGAGACCATCCGGGATGTCGTGGTTGCACCTTGTGTAACGCGTTTCTGGCTTCCATTGAAATTAGTTGTCACTTGCACATCCCCCAATTTACTGGCTCTCAAACTGTAAACCTAGTTTGCTAATTAAAACGACAGTCGTGTAGCATCAAGGTAGACCATGTTTCTGAACTGCAAACCTAATTAGGTGTGGAAAGTTTTTATCGATACACAAGATACCTAATCTGCATGCAGGCTTGAAGCAGGCACCACAGCTTACATGAAATCAAACCTTATGAAATTAAGATATGCATTGACACGTAATTCCTCGCACAAATTTGCTGCCATTTATTGCAGAACTTGTACAACGAGCAATATACTGTTGAATTTGGAGAGCTAAGATAAACAATCACTTCTGTTTTCAGTATTCCTTGTAAAGTAATCAAGACTCGACACCTTTCATTCCATTGAGTCACGATTTTTAGTAGTTTTCAGCCCCTAATGCCAGTTTTAGGGTGTCACGTAGTTGTTTTTTGTACCAAAAGCCCTTAACTAAACACATGTATACAGTTGAAATTGATGATAGTCAAACAATCAGGAAAGTGCGTGAGGCCTCAAAAGAACCAAGTCTTACCGGCACTGAAGTTGCATGCCTCTGACCGCCCAAAGCTACGTGAGGGGCTTACCTAACCAACTCGATCATTACACTCCGACAGTAGTGAAACAGTACCGCGTTTTCGCTACACCACTGCCTCAGAATTGCATGAATCTGATTCATTTCAGCGAGCAGCGACGTCTCAGCCAGGAATTCCCGGACCGGGCTTCAGAGATCAAGCACCACTGGTCGGACCTACAGGCGGCATGGATGGCCCTCCAGAAAACCGTCTCGGCCGACCGCCAACGGCTGACCGAAGCCCAAAGGGTCACGCAGTGGCAGACGCGATGCCAACTGCTCAGTGGCTGGGCCAGCGAGCGCCGACTTGCAATGTTATCGGTTCGTGAGATTCCCACAAGCCTCGCTGAGGCGCAGCACCTCTTGAGTGAGCACCAGGAAATTCGCATGCAAATAAGCAAACGTAATCCCGAAAAGGAAGAAGTTATTAGGTAAGTGAAGGCCACCGATACCACTGAATTTTACCCGTTCCAAATTCACACAAGTGGCAGTGTGATCTCAGGAGCCTTCGAGAATCGCGTAATTTTAACTAACGACGTACACTTATCTAGTTGATGCTCCTTCGAAGTCTGTGAGTCATTACCGTGCAGTCTTTGCCACCCCGTTGACCATTTGTCAGAGCGTGGTGCTGGTTCCCTACGCATAAATATCTGCTGCCCTAGAATTTTTTCGGTCGTATTGACGCCTGATTGGGTCTCCGCTTGGTAGTGCATGACACATCGGTGGGCGTGGTATTCCACACGACAGGTAATGGGGAATGGTGACGCTTTAGATATTTCTGTTCGTTTAAAAAACAGTAGCTGGTGAAACAAAGAGACTGGTTTAGGCGACTAAGAAAAAGCGCTATCAGCAGTCATCTAGTTATGTTGATGGCAAATTTATTCTGTATACGGTTTGCCTCTTCCCCTGAAGGTCTGTGAACGATTAAACAAAAAGGCGTAAAATCACTCCCTAAGTTCAGATTATACGAACAACGAATCTCTGACTAGAATCTTCTGTCTAGTTTTCGATTACTCCTCTGCCAACCATATTTAGCTGCTTACGGCTGAAGCAGATGTACATCTCAACTGGGGTAGGTCCCAGGGTTGGGAATCAACGACTTGTTAATCAGACCTTACAGACAGATGCTATGTCTGGAGTTAGACCTAACACGATTTTGTTACTAAAATAAACACTGCCTCCATCGTCCCACCAATTGCGTCGCCTGTCAATTAGTAATCTGGTCTAGGTTCATCCTGGCCAGAACAGTCTACCGTACCTACATCACATTTGTCTACCTCCAAGTGTCACTGACCGATCGCCTGCCGACGAATACCCTTGTTTGCAATGCATTTTTGGTTCCCAATTCGTTGTCCTGTCGTTCTCAAACAGCACAACTTAATGGAGTTTTTATTTCTGTATTTTCACAAGGCACTAAAAGTTTGGTAGAATGATGGATACTGGCGCCATTGGATGCTGCTTTTACAATCCCTAGCGCACTACCTTTGCCTGCGCAATTGTGTCTCACTAGAAAATTCCTTTTACACAACTTGCCGAGCCATTTAAATGACTTGAAGGGGAGCACCATCATAGAAGAATACTTCCTTAGTCGTGTGTGTAGGTTTTAAAATAAGTGGTTTATCCAATGTCGCTCGGCTACAGACGCTTAGCATTATACGACTCCCTATTGTCACTCTGTTCTCCATTTGACGTATAACGTGCACTAGTTTATGGCTCCATTTGTGTAAGTTAAAACGAAATGCTTTCTCGTGTCAAACGAAGGAAAATGTAGCGCACAAGTTAACATTGGCAAATGGAAATTTCACGTAGCTAAGTGAATTTCTTAAAACGACTAAATCAGCGTGCACTAACAACTTTGTTCTTGTTCGCATTGAGGCCCAAAGCATTGCCTGGTTTGTCCTGGCCATTGTTCTCCGTTGTAACTCTTTAGGTTAAAAACTAGCTATTCATGATGCTGTTGGAATTGGGGTTCTTTGTTGATTTCTTCAGGTTCATTTACCAATTTTTATTTGTGATTTTGTCTAAATAAACGATACCATTTGGGCGTCATCCCAGCACCGTGTGGGTGCTCATGACAGTATGAGAGTCCACTGGACAGATGAGAATAAACCACCTAGCGTACTGGTTTACTGCAGCATGAATTGCCAAGGCTTTGGTTATGAATTCAGATTCAACCCTGATATTGACTGGAGACTTGAAAACTACGTATCAGGTCAGGTACTTTTCCCCTTTAGAACAAACAAGCTTTTGCGGGGGATGAATTACCGTAGTGTCAGAATAATAAATCCAGTAAAGTACCTCGCGTGTTTGTGTCTGCTGACTACAGAACGGGCTCTGAAGACAATTCCGCCAGGACTGACAATCAATTACATAATTGACTTGTAAGAGCGCCAGCAATCAGAAAAACAGCCCATACATATTGCTCAAGCAAAGCTTATTCCGCCCCCATGCTTGAGTGTCCAATTTTAGATCAAAGTGACTATACGTCATCGTTAATCTACTTGTCGTGGGGGTGAAACAAAATCCCACAGACCTAGTCAACTGGCCCAGACTTTCACCCTGGTGGGCATTTTGGCTCAAATCTGCTGCGCTTGTCGTGTCCTCTTACGAACGAATTTGCGAACTGGAGGAACGTGAGTGATGGAGGCTGTCAGTCAATTGAAATCTGATGCACTGGCAGATGTACGAGCATCTGAAAACGGCGGTGCGTGGTTAGAGTGACAGGCAAGGGATGCGTGAACAGTCGTGTCCACATGACCGAGAATTATGCGACGACGGAGTTGATGGAAGTGAATCACTCCGATCCATCACAGTTGTTCGTTTTAGTGAAAAGAATGTTAACCATTTCTTTCAGAAGCAAAAATGGCATGTAGGTCGTAGGTTGGATTGTGGTCGATGTGACCATCGATATAGGCTGTGTTGTAAATGTCTGGAGCCTTAAATGAAGTCAAAAAAACCTAATGAGGGATAAATGGAGATGATCGAAACTGATTACCGTTGGCTTGAGTTAGATGTGGTCCATTGATGTTGAGGTTACAACATATCCATCAGTCGGATGTCCTAAAGGTTGATTGCAAGCAAGATGAAAGGATGCCATTGGTTGTATCCGGGAGATGATCAGGACAATTGGGTGTCTTTGGAAAATGATATGGCCCATTGTACATCGTTGCAAAGAGTTTGAGATGTTTTGATGCTGACGACGCAATCTTTTATCGCAGAATGGCAAGACTTGGTGATTAATCTTTGCTCTTGTGATGTAGTTCGAGATTCAGAGCGAGGCAATCGAGAGTCCAGAGATAAAGCTAATTTGAGGAAGGTGATAGTCGAGTGCGATGGATAGGGGTGGTTCGCGATGGACAACTGAGTGTGGAGCAGATTGGGAATGTGGAGCACAAGACAATCGCGTTACCTTAGTTGTCCTGAAGATTGCCAATTACTAGCTCGTAGAATGTGAAACATGTTAGATTTCAAGGCCAACAATTTGTTTTGGCATAACAAGGCATGAAGTATCCAGAGATTAAAGACTGGACAAGAGAGGGATTTATTCTTTTTCTAAATCCAGCAGCGCCGTGGTTGTTGAGTTTATAGTGTTCTTCTTTCATGTGGATCTCTAATCATCCCATTTTACTCCAAATTTAGGTCGGGTCAGGATCTAGCCACCTCGATTCCCTCCTCAAAAATCGTTATCCAGAAGTCAATTGAACAACTGGATGCTGCCTGGTCTCAAATGCAATCAGTGTGGTCATCTCGAAACGGTCTTTATGAGAAAAATGTGGACCTGAGGGTGAGTTAAATGCTTCGTTTCATGCTTTTTGTTGCATTATGCACTTGAAATAATAGACTCTTGTTCACTTGCTCAGTTGAGCGGAAAATGAAGCAGTTGTCATTTTTACACGAAGGCGTTGCATGAACAAACCAGCCTGGTAAGAAATAAAATCCAAAACCCGTTGTGATTGTATTATTCATGATGTTTTTTTTCAAAATGCGAGAAGTGTCTGTTTAGGCACATCATGGTCATCCTGGTGCAAGCGTTTGCTCAATTTCGTTGAGTGTGCTTCCCGAGTCTTGGAAACTTCATGTTCCGCGGAGGGTTTGCTGGGAAGCCACACATCACCCTTCTGTCAACGAGGGAAAGGTTCTTTTTGTAGAAGTTTGTTGGCAGGCGTGCAAATCCCCAAATCACGCCATTGTCATGACTCGAATCCGCAACTCATTTCTTCTTTGCTTTCTCATGATTCAATCTGCAGGAGACAATATGAAAATGCTCTATGTCAATCCTGGCTTTAGAAATTGACCAGCAATAAGTAATATAAGGTTATTTGTTGCATTTAGGCATAAAGAATGACGGTATTCTGCTTAAACCTAACTCAAATGGCTCCTCGATAGGGTGTGTCTTGCGTTATTGCTTTACAAAGTTGTCACAAGTTCTCAAAGGACGCTGTGTCTGGTTACCGCCTGGTGCCGTGGTAGGTAGTGCTAAACGGCACCAACGACCTGTCGGGAAACACACCTGCAGGGTGGTTATGTCTATGTCAGTTTAGACAGAGAATTGACGCAATTCCAGATCTGTTTTCTCATAGACAAATGCAGACACCATGCGCTACATTAATATGTAATCAGAAAAATTGAAAAAAATGTCATATTTTTATGATTCAGGGCCTTAAAATGAGCTCCAGACGATAGAAAAATGTAAATGTGACAAGCCGATAAGCTTACAGGACACGAGGACTTTTAACTCACGTGTGTAACCTAAGTAGTAATCTGAACAGTAGGCTACTAAGTTGAAACCCAAGCTTACACATGGTGGTGGAATGTCATCCTTGGAAATTCGATAGGCAAAGGCTCAAGATGAACGGACATCCGATTTATGATTTCCTTGGAGTTTCTTCATTTTTTTGCAAGTTAAGAGTGCTGTAATAATAGTAACGAATCAACTTTAGGCCGATTAATAGCGGATCGCAAAATCGATTCCTTTTCTTTACTGTTTTTGCTCCTCTAACTGTACAATCTGGTATGACTTGCACGGATTGGCGTAGTTTTGATTTAATAACGATGACGATTCCGTGCCTGATTCACGCGAACATTGGCGTGTGCCGTTCCACCAGACTTTTGATGCCTGTCTTTTATGTCCAACCAGTCGCACACGGGTGACACTTCCGATTTCATTTTGGTACTTTGGCCTAAAAACTCCTAGTTCTTACGCTTTATCTAAAACATTGCCCTTTCCTCTTTGCATCGCTGTAAATTACACATTATTGTGAATCTGCAACGAATGACTTGGGCAATAGTGACTTGCCAACCAACGTCTTTGGCCTGTTAATTGGTACAGAACCTATTTTACACGACAGTTCATTGGGTCATTCAGATGCAAATGCTTCTCAATTTGTACGCGATAGCAGCGAACCCTCGTAGGTTCACTAATTGAGTGGGGTGGATCTTACATGGTTGCCGTGGATGATGACTTGGGTGAAGGTAGGTGTTGGAGATTGAGTTCATGACGTGGCCACACGTGGCACCATGGAGGCTGTCGTAGGAGAGCGTAAATGAGAGCGGCCAGAGGTGCAGACTGTCCATCCAGTGCATGAGCGAGTCAGAGTGCTAGTGTGTAAACAATGTGTGGACAGAAACGTATAGAGCTGTAAATATAGCAATGAATGACACGGGAGCTTGAGATGCAGGAAGGAATAGCAAACAATTGTGTCTGGAGATGCCTGCGATGATTATTTTGCGTTAGCGGTATGAGGAATATTTTTGCAAGTCGATGCTTAACGCCTGGTTAGAAAGACAGCGGTTTTAATACTCTGTAGAAAAGTGCTTCTTTTTCCATCAATACCGTGTATTGCTGAATGTGCAAATAACGCTCTATTTGCCGTTAGGTGAATGCTTGGGCTTATTGGTAATGTAACTAGGATAATTTTAACTAGGGACTCATTTCACCGCTTAGATTGAACGGCCTCTGGTCACTTGTTTTTGTTGTAAAACACTAAACACTCCAAACTGGGCACGCAATTTTTTGTTCTCATTTATGTACTTTAAATTTGCTGACAAAATGGTGACCGTAGCACGCCTCAGTTGGTTGGCATCATGTTTGAAGATAATGATCTTCGCTGGCAGATATTTTCTCACTTCATTCCGCTTTTTTTTTCATAGAAATTATTCGCGGAAATGACCGAGCTCGAAGCCTGGCTAGACGATCAGGAACTTCGTCTTAAGAGTTCGGCTGACGTTATTTCAAAGGATGCCTCGCCTGAAAGTGTTGAACAGGCACTCTCCAACCACATGGACATCGAAAAAGCCATCGAGGACGCCAAGGGACGATTCGAGGCAATTAAACGAAAAACTATAATGGAGACGCTTAAGTTTGAAATGCTCAAATTTATTACAAGACGCGGCGAAGGCAGTTCTGTCGGTGATCAGCCGTTTTCGGACGCACGCGTTGCTGCAATTCAACGACGTGAGACCTCTAAGATTAACCGCAACAGGTGAGGTTATTACCTCCCTTAATCTACGCTTTTGAATTTAAGAAAACTAAGACATATTAGAGTTGACAACGAATTGTCAAAATCTTCAAAGTACACAAGATAAGGTGGTGTTTCTACAGCCAAATATCACTCATACCAAGGGTACTTGAAAATCGATTAGAACTCATGGGTTAAAGTATTACAAATGAATCAGTTAACACATCCTCTATCCGAAATTTTCATAGTCGCTCACGCAAATTGAAAAGAATTGAGACCACAATTCTCAATATTATCTTTGTTTAAACAGAGGGGCAAAAGATATCTTTTTTTCATTTTCAATTTAAATTAAATGGTCCTGCACTCAATCCTATCAGTTGTATCTGAACTTCCTAAGCAAAAATTGTACCAAACAGTTCAGTTATGTAGTTTTAACTCATTAACATGACCTATTTAGTAACCGTCCTGTTTGAATTTCTAAATGTGAAAAGCAAAAGTCTAATAAAGGTTCAGGATTCCAAACGAATGTAGCACACGATTAAGGTCGAGTGACATTGAAGGTAAGATTCTGAGTCAATTACCTGCCGTGTGAAATCAAGCCTGAGTTAATTGGATACGCTAACACATAAACCTAAAGCCGCAGCTCACTGTGGTAGCCAGATACATCGATCTGAATGCGTTAAGTGACTGGTTGTTCTGAAACGCAGCAGGCTTCCTCTGTCGGTTACGAACTCAGTCTTGAGCTTTTTCGAATCATTTTGGCTCAATCCACCAACTTAGTTTACAATATTTCTAGTCTTGGTTTAAATACAGTTTGCAAATATAGTCAATTTTTCTTGCATGCCGCAAGCGCTAGCGGTCTAACCAGCATACATGATCTATGTTTACTCCGTTTTTGGTTCCGAGTTAACACCACTTAAAAGGCCTTGTTGTTGTCCTAACTACGCAATCGGAGTGAGTAGCTTTTACCTGCCTATGGCGGCGGATGGGCCATGTTCTGGTTGCCATGTCGTCTTTAGCCCGTTTATACCGGTGATCACTTGCTGTCTCGATGCTTCGGCTACCGCAGTGTCACGTGAGTCTTAATCCTAGTGGCCAAATTATTTTAAACAAGGCGAGCGTTGGGGCGTAAATTGGAAGTAAAATTTTTACGAGCCACCAGTGGTTTGTGTTGGCTGGACAATAAGGGATAAAATGTCACCGAAATAAGCAAGGCCTCCTGGGCTCATTTTTTTAAGTTCCAGTGTGAGCACATCGGTTTTTAGAACCTCTAACAAGGTGGTTACGCTGTCTTCAACCTTGCTCTTATAAACGGTGCCTAGTATCTGCGAATTACGACAAATTAAGTAATAACACACTGTGTAACTCAAATTAGCCGTTACAAATCTATCCTTCCCTCTTTTTTTAATCATGGATCTTAAGTAGAGACTGTTAAAATGACCAAAGCACCGACAATGCGTTAACTAGATACGAAGTTATAATCGAGAGCCAAGCTCTTACCATAAATCACAACGTATCAGATAAAACGGGCTTACAGCAGGCGGAGAGATTACACCGATTTCTCACTTATTTTTAATAAGAGAATTTTCGCAGCTGCTCCGTCGTCTTGGTTCTGACGTATAACCGATGGTTGCACGTTCTCAACCCCGTGGACAATAGATGATTCACTATAAAATCGATTATTTTAGTAACGATCAATCTGGTTTGTCGAATCAATTATTAGCATCAGCAAATATGGCAAACCGGTGTGTGAAACTGATTTTGCAGATGAGTCTTGAGTTAATTAAACGAGTTATTCAATTTTTTAAACTTGTACGTTGGCATAGTTCTTTATGTAGTCCTATGAGAGCAATTTTAAACTTAACTTTCAACATATTTCAGAAAGTAGTAAATTCGTAGACATAAAAGCTGCTGGTTCCGGATACCCTTGTGCGTATTTCCAGCTTACCTTTTTTCCTGTGTCTGTAGGTCTAAATTATCGGTTCCTGCTGCAAGCACAGTGCATAAGACAAGTCAGGATCATCTCCAATCGATATTTGGTACCATGGCACCAATTGAACCGACCAATGAGCAAAGTGTGCAACAATCAGCCCCTCCTGTTCACGATTTTTCCACATCCTCAGGCCAAAATGATTCCTTCGGCATGACAAGTACACGATACATGCAAAAATGGAGCGATTCTAGTGATATCGATGAACCCAACAACACTACATCATTTCCAAAAAAACCGACATCACCGCTTATCGAGCAAAGTCCACTTGTCAGATCTCCAAGCCAGCAAGGTGGCTCCAAGTTTCTGAATTTTTTCAAGAGGAGTACAGCTGGACTTGACGAGGCTCCGGACTCCCCAAAGGAGAAATATTCGAATGCTGGCAAGACAAATAACTTCTTTTCTAAAATTCGACGATCTCGGGTAGATTCGCCTCAAATTCCCTCGTCTGCATCTCCTCCCATCGAGGTATCCATGGCTGAAAAAAATGTGTCGTCACCTCGTCAACTGCCGCCAAGTTCACCTAAAGGCATCACAAAACCACCTCCACTTGTGCTTGAATCACGAAGCAGCAGTGATGCTGATAATGATCGTTGTGCAACGGACGTAAGTAACATTATACTTTAAATATGTGTCATTATTTGCCTTACACTAGTAGTGCGCGTTCCCTTCCTCAAGGTCTACACAAATTCTATTATTTGTATTAACCGTTTGAAGAGGTAAAGTAAAATTCAGACAACAGACAGTTTGCGATAAGTTGTTTATAATACACTGGAATTGTCGTATTGTTTTCCAGCCCTTCAATGACACTTGAAGATTTCACAGAAACGTTACATGTGTACAAAATATGTCATAGTATCTAATTTACAAATGGACTTTCAAATACACTGGATATCAGCAGATCTTTGTAAAGGTACACTGTAGTTTTGTCAAAGCGTAATGTTTTCGCCCACTCACTATATTGGCTCATTAGTGCGTACACGGAAGTTCAAATAAAACAAGTGATGCCTCATCTTTCCTTCCGTAGACTGGCGTACTTAATGTCTTGTCAATGTTGCAAGGAATTGTATAGTCAACCGCTATAAAACGGTTGCTAGGGCGGTGGCTTGCAAAATTTTTAAATTTCACCCGTGTCACACAGAGTTTTTCTCTATACCTGCTCTTTGTCGTTGCTCCTACAATGACCATCGGTTCTCCCTTTTTTCTTTGTTGGCAAAATTTTGTATATGCCTACAGCTTACGTATTATATAACAACCTTTAATTTAACATTTGAGTCATCTGCGTTGGTTTCAAATTGCAATTCACCTAACCAGCTCGCACAAATCTGCCAAATTCAAAGCCACATGTTCTTAAACGGAGTGGTTTTTATTTCCAATAAACTAAATTGGAAGAAAAAGAAACTGCCTGTTTGTTAGTTTTAATTCCAATGTTTATGCTGGATGGGCATTGCTGTACCATTTATATGTAACACTACTTGTGCTATGAAGGGCTACTTTTTCGTCAATGAACGAGATTTATTTCCTATTCCCGAGTGTTCCGAAGTGCCATAGCAAGGCAGAATGACTGAATCTTTTGATACTTCACTGTTCACGTAACATGTGTTTACTAGATGATGTGTAAAATTCTGCCAGCTAAGGTTTGTCAAGCCATTGTCTTTTGAGAAAAAAAATATCATTTCTACCCCACTTAGTGTCCTTAACGATTTTACCGAGAATGCTTTATTCTTGTGTCAAGAAGGAAAGGCAGTATTTGGCTATGCGTTACATTTGCAAAGATTAAAGTCATAGGCTCCTTTATTTTCCTGCAACATGTTTGACCTTGTCTGGAGCTTTGGGATGTGGAGTTGCACGATGGTGGCTATGACGATTAGCTTATTTCTGCCATTTTTGTGGAGCCCTTCTTAAAGTATCATCATTTTAAGCTTATTACTTGAAAGTGGAAAATTGCCAACTTGTTTCTCTGACTGTTGCACGTTAATTAAATAACAATTTTCTCCTGTCGAAAACATAAATTTTACTCCCATACTTATAGTTGAGTTATTTCTGCGACAAATGTCACATTATAGACTCGAAAGCCCCTCCATAACTATTCAACAACATGGCTTTTTCGCATCACTTCTGCTGTACATGAATCAAGGGCTCGTTTTGCTGTAAGCACCACTTCTGATAACGTCAGTTAGGTTCTTTAGACTGATCAATGCGGCGATTGCCCTTTCCTCCGATTCCTATTTTGTCATTATGTCGCTCGTGACATTTTGTAATTTGTTATATCTAGCAATTAGCCCACATTATTAAAAAAAACTGGGCGTGTTTTGTCTTCGTCTCCTCTGACTTTGTCAAAGACTTATTAATAGTAGGCTATTTTTAAAAGCATTATTTTTTAAATAGGATCTTTATTACGTGACAAGTAAGCGGCGAAGTTCTTTGATATTTAACGAAATCCATTTGATCTAGGAAGTCTGGTTGAAATGTAATTTGCAAGAGTTTGGACATTAATAGTTAGACGTTTCCGTTTTTTAAAGTACCCAGAATGACACTAACTAAATTTAGAACTAGTGTTTGTAAAACTCCCCGTGTACCTCAAAATAACCTGGACTCGATTTTTAAAATTCTCAACAAATCTGCTAATTTGTTGTTTACCACAAAGCACTGTTTGTATTTCTTACAACTACAGAAATGTCGTTTAACAAATCTTGCTATCTCAAATGCACTGTATGGTTTATAAGTAACTGGCCGGCGTCAAAGTAATGTATTTTATGGCTACGCAGACTACAACAACTATTGACAGCCACGCACATTCCTACTGAAAAAAGCAAATTGTTGTGATGTCCGTATTTCTCGATGCGGTACACTACTAACACCACACTACTTAGTGACAGTCTAGTGGTTGTCACAAGCCTTTTTTAGGAAACTTGAAGCATGTCTTCGAAACACCTAATAAACCTTACTTCGGAAGGGCCACAACTCTGTTGATTCATCCTCCATTTGGCTATTGTCTATAAGTAAAACCACACCGGTTTCATGCGGTGGATCTTGCGTGGTTACCTGAGGAACTCTGACAATTCCCATATTACAGTTACGAGCCTCGTTCCATCACAATGCACCACCAATTCTATTTTTGTCAATATTGACTTACCTTCCTGCTACTTTATTAAAGAAGGTATGTTCAGCATGCCATCTTTGTTTACGGACAAGGTCATACTATGTGGTAAGTCAAGCACGAATAAAATTCAGGTATGCACATTATTTAAGTTTTTGTGGCCCAGTTTTTAACGAGAGGATTCACAACACGGGCCACTTCTTGCGTGCTTGGGCTTTGTGTCTTGAAGTAACTTTCAATTCCCTGACTTCAACTGTACCAATAATCTATCAATGTGTTCCTAATAGGAAAGATAGTAATTGATCAGCGTTGGAGCAATTAAAATTCACTTATATTTTGTGTTTCTTAGAAAGAATGGGGCAAGGGGTTGAGAGTTAAATGCTGACTTTACTAACCCAAGTGTCCATATAAGTTTAACAAAATTTATCTGCTGCGCCTTTCAGAGCCTGATTATATTCCGATTTCTTACTTATACGGAATAAATTAGGATGTAAGGCCATCATCACTTGACTTCTTAGGTGAATGTAGCTCTGTGATTTTTTGAGTTGGATAAGTAATCAGTTCACTTCCTACCCATTACATTGCTTCGATGCGAAAGATAAGAGAGGTACTATTATCCTTATAACAAAGTGTTGTGGTTCCCGGCATGTTGGCTTAAACCACGCCAGGGCCACTGAGTTAACCCTGGCTCGATTACACTACCCTGATATTTTTGGAGATGAAGAAGGCCGGAGGGGACGAGGCACAACCGTCTACCAGACAGCTCAGCGAACTTATGTTGTTTGTGTGCATCAGAGATTGTGCATGACTCATGCATTTTGTTGACTGATATAGTTGTTGTGGGTCCCAGCGTGTGGTCTTGAATCACGCCGGGGCAACTGAATTAACTCTGGCCCAATTACGTTTCCCTAATACCCGCGATGAAGAAAAAGACCGGAAAGGACGTGGACACAACCGTTTACTTCAGAGCTCAACCACGTTGGTGTCGTGTGTGGGGTTTGTGCGTGTGTATGTATACCTCGGATGTGTGATCTAACATCGATACCTATGTGTGAGGATAGTCCAAGATAAATATCCGTGTGTGAATGAGGGGGGAGTTGAGGATCTGCGTGGCCGTCGACATGCTGCGAAAAGGGGAGCCCTGTGTCGGAGGTGAAGCGACCGGATTAAGGGGCATGAATAAACACGATTCACAACACAGTGGAGTGGACTAGTAAAAATACGGGCGTCTGAAGGTCACGTGTGTAAAGCGGGCAGTGGTGGTACATGCAGAGGAGTAAATGAGCAGGTGGCCCCGCGTGACTGACGCGCACGCCGTGAAAAGGGGCACGTGTGAGGCTGCAACGACCGGATTGTTGGACGTGAATCCACACAATTCACTACAAATCATTATATCGACAATGGCGATCTTGCTTTATCTAACTTCGTTTTTGAGCTTTTGTTGGTTGAAGTTTATGATGTGACCCTCTTGTAGACTCAACACTGCCCATCAGTGTTTTGGTTTATACGTCGAGTTTGTTTCTGAAGGCATCATGGTTGTGCGCACAAAGGCAAAATTTAGATCGTGCATGGAAAGGGATAGCCGCCGCTTTGTAGTCCACCGATCTGTAACGTCACACTATCGGTCTTTGTGGCTTATATGCCGATCTATTTTTGTTCAACCTTGCCTTTACAACTCACACTTTTGCTAACTCAGTGTCTTGAGCTGTGGGAAGGTGCGCAGCTGCAATTTCCTTCCGATTAACGATTGACGCTTGGGGTGTTACCTGGTAGTGGAGGTGGTGGATTTGTTTCCCTTACTTCATAGCTAGGTTAACTAATGCACAAATTTATTACTCAAACAGGCGATTGAATTTATTGCCAGAATATCAGGTGGCTTTGTTAGATCGCCTAACTGGTGTTTGTAGCCTCTGATAAGTCGGCGTTAACGAGTAATTTACAGAGAAGAGGTCATAAATAGTATGTGGCGAACTCTGACAGATTTAATTTGTAAGTTTTACATTTGGTAAAATATTTAAAGTATCAATCAACATTTCAGCCTATTAAACACTAAATCCTACATTTCTTTAAAGATCAGAAACCCAAAATCACTGTAGCCGGTGTTATGTTTCGTAAAGTTGAACAATTTTTTGCACTGTTAACGTCTATTAATATTTTATGAAGTGCAGCACGATTAGCACTTTGTTTCTCAATCAACTGTTCCCTTGCGATAGTAGCACAAGCGTCGCAGTTTTCGGGTGTTAAACATAACTCTGCTTTAAAAAACTACACGAAATACAAATTAATCACGTCTGAATTTCGTATTTACATTTACCTGCTCTAATAATTTATTGTACCAAACAGACATACATTCCAACCACCTGTGACTTTAGTCAGCAAAGCTTCATTTTGAACATCTTGACAATTTTTTTTAAAGATCTGATTGGTTTATAGTGCCTTGATCCTTGGGTATGGTTACTGATTAAATTGGGTTGTAGTTCGCTATGTGCACAAAAATACGACTCAGTTTGTCTCATTTGTCCTTTTTTAACCGCCCACCTTGCTACTTTCTCCTTGTCATTTGGTCCGTTATAATAATCAGCAATATGTCGTTCTAAACGCGTCATAAACACTTCCAGAACGAACTCACTGATAAGGCCGCAATATTCAACCAGGTAACGTGCACTTACTTATTTTTAGGTAGACGCTATCAGGGCGTGTGCACCTGAAGTCACTTATAACCATTGCTTTAAACGTGCACGCGAACGCTTCACTAAAAAGGCAATGTTTAAATCCCTCGCTAATTGAATATTTGAGGAAAAAATCATGTGTGCTTTCAGTTGATTTTCTTGCTCACAGAGATGCTGGAGTTTGTATGGAGGATTCTGCTAAGATTCAGCAGGTTTAAGAAGTGCATTTTTACATGAGTGGTTTCATATTAAACCAAATGGCTATCCATTGAACGTTATCGCAATTGATTACGTTTTGACTTCATTACTGGCTCCTCGAGCCTAGTGTGATTGCGCTCAGAAAGTTGGCAGTTTTACAACTAGAGAAAAAAAATTTGAACTAGGAGACTTAGCTCTCCCAAAAAAATTCATTAAAAATGGGAAAGGAGGAATATTCAATATGCTATGGCGAAATGGCGTCTCCTTGCTTGTAGGCCTTCGGAAGTGAGAAGGTGGTGAACATACCACCTAAATTGATAACTACCATTGGAGGTCACGAACGAGACACTTGGTCCTCCGGTGATCTCGCTACGTCCCCAGTGCTCGAGGTGACGTACAACCTCACGTCGGGTCCGTCGGCGGTTTCGTCAAATGGACGTGCGTCAGCCTCCTTCCAACCACCAAAACCAGACTTCAGCGGGCCCCTAGCGCGCAAGGTATTGTCAGCCCCGAAGTCCTACCGCGGAGTGACCAAGAAGTGGATTCCCAGTGGTCTAGCGGCAGCCTATAATTGGGCTGTTCTGGAAGCCACACACCTTATTTTCTATGAACACGAACGAGGTAAGTAATGGTCGTCAGCGCTTTCGCGAACCTAAATTAATCTAGGCAATAAACTGTTACGGTGTACCGGTGCACAGGTGCAAAGCTCCGAGCGCAAATAATCAAATCCCTTGTCTAGCACGTCGGTGACTTCCCCAGCACTGGAATCGCACGCTTAATGGCCATTAAACAGCTTTGCAATTATAGGTATGATCGTAAATGCCAACAAATTAACTCAGTGTTGAATAGGCTGGTTGTTAATTTTTTTTTCTCCTGAACAGTTTTCTGCATCATTTTGTATACCAAAGGTGTGATTAAATAAGAGGCTTGTCATAAGTGAAGTTTAAATACATTTTCATGTACAGGGCCCTACTTTTATCGCGAGTCGCTTGAATGGTTAAAGTAAGCAAAAATTGTTCCAGCATCAAAGGAAAAATTCGCGGTGGTCAATAACGTGCTTAGGACAAAGCAGCAAATACGCCGTTTTTATTCGGCATGATTTTTTAATAATGCAATGTAACCACGCAGTCACAAGTAAAGACCCCGACAGCTTCAACACGTTGCCAGAATCACACGCCCAGATAATCCGTACCACAGATCCCTTGTCTGACTCTGCGCCCGACCTTTCCACTTGAATGCAAGACAAGACCATGTGCCGAGAGCTTTCACTGTCTCAACCGAAGGTCGATGGATCTGTCATGATGTGTCCACTAAAATAAGTCAGAGATGACGCTAAAAATTAGTAGATAAAGGCGGATTAACACAGATGGACCTGTCAATGGGGTGTTGTGGGTGACCCATGCACATAATTGACGTGGTTATGGGAATCGGGTAAACAATGACGAAATCCAAATCCATGATGAGCTGTCTCAGGGTATGCTAGATCCCTAACCGGTTAGGTTTCTGCAGATTGGAGTTGTTTTATGGTGTCTAAATAATTTGGTTTATGCCTCATGTGATCTTGAGGTATGCCACAGAGGTGGTTCAAACATGTGAGACTACACACATGACCGTCACTTGGAAGAAGCGTGCATGTGGATGATGACTTGGGTGAAGGCAGGCGTGGGAGATTGAGTTCATGACGTGGCCACACGTGGCACCATGGAGGCTGTCGTAGGAGAGCTTAAATGAGAGCGGCCAGAGGTGCAGACTGTCCATCCAGTGCATGAGCGAATCGGAGTGCTAGTGTGTAAACAGTGTGTAGACAGAAGCGTATAGAGCTGTAAATATAGCAATGAATGACACGGGAGCTTGAGATGCAGGAAGGAATAGCAAACAATTGTGTCTGGAGATGCCTGCGATGATTATTTTGCGTTAGCGGTATGAGGAATATTTTTGCGTGTCGATGCTTAACGCATGGTTAGGAAGACAGCGGAATTAGTCCATCTGGCGACTTATGGGGTTTATTAATGTGGTGACATTGGGCTGATCCGTCGTATGTTGATTGGCGATGATCCCGCATTAGTTTAATTTTAAAAGTTAATATTGTCGTGCCTTGGTGTATTTACGCCCACTGTTGCTGTTCGTGTATTTTTTTCACTTAAATCAACGTCTCGTGAACCATATTAGATTTGCACAATTTAGCCTAAATCACAAATCGAAGATATGTGCTTTTCTATTCTGAACAAGCATATGTGCCTTGTTGTTGAACAACGCGCAGAAACTGTGGTTGACATCATTAGCCTATAGAGTGTCTTTTGCGTTGTCCTATGCTGTTTTGTAACTGAAGCTTCTGTTTGAGTGACTCTGTTTCGCTTAAATAATTCATTAAGTTTATATTGCATGGTCGTTTCGGCTATGATCTTGACTTAGACGTCTTGATTAGTACCTTTTGGGGTTTCGTTTCTGAAGCCCTTTTTCTAGTCTTTTATGCTTGCGCTCTAGCAACTCCTTTTTAACGCCCTTAGTTTGTAGCATTTTTAGTGAAGCTTAAATTCAGTTAAAAAATAGTCTTGGACAATTGGTATTGATAAGAAGAGCTGGAATAGTTGTATTGCAATTTTTAGCAAAATAAGTCACTAGGTTGATGTTGGAAGTGAAAGTAAAAGATGCCGTTACCCTATCAAATGCCCTTTTGGTATTTTCCACGTCCAAAACTAAGATCTCTTGCTTCTTCCTTCTTAGCATCCACAACTGGATCTGGTGTTCTTGAGGTCTACAACGTACAGGGCGCTGTTGTTAGTAGATGTCCACCAAAGACTAGCAGAACGCACGCTAACGTACTGCAAGTTATACTGGAGGACAAGACAGTGCTACTGCTAGCTGCTGATACTGCTGATAATCTAAATCGGTGGTATATCCAACTCAAGGACATTTCAAGTGCGTTACTGTTTACTCGCTCACCAGGATGTACTTTTCGGCTCTTGACAATCTGCCTTTTGCCCAAGATCGCTTAATCCCCAGTGATTCTTAGTTTTTCTTCTGTGTGCATCTCAACTCAAGCGTATCCAATGCGCATTTACGATAATTGAGTCCGAAATGGGTTTAATTTACAGAATAGCTAAACGAACGTCTGTATGCCTTTTAAAACAAACCTGAAGTCGTTTCAATGAGAAATAATGAGAGTTTTGGAAAACAGCCACCCTAAACAAAATAAGAACCTTATAGAAAGCGTGAATTGTGACTGTAAAGAACTGGATCCGCTTCATTACCATTACAACTGAATTATCCATCATGCATTGTATTGGACACTAAATATATTGCTAAATTAATCCAAATTAGACGTTATATGCTGCTGAATTTACCTTTTTTTACGAATTTTGTCACATGAAAAGCATTCTGGTACGTATGGCACAACAGTCTTTAGAAGTCTCATTGTAGGTTAGACCGCGTAAATTTCAAGTCAGTTTAGCATCTTATTGGTAGAAGCTATAACAGATTCTAGTTTTTAAATCAGGTGCTAATTATTTATCAAATCTTGCAAAATGGCAAACGTTTACTTATAATTATTACGATTTCGTATGATTACTGACATGGAATATTGGAGTAATTAGCACCTAAGGTATAATAAACGGACGGTTAAGGAAACACCAGGACATAAAATAAGAATTTTGATTCATAGATAACAAATTGGTCTTGTTGCAGGTCAACAGTAGTTCTAATTAATTCTATTTTCATTTGAGTTAGCTTGCGTTGCTTCAGTCATCCAGCAGTTGATAAACAACCAATTTGTTATTCATGTCTACGTGTTTGGTCTCGGGTCCATCGGGCGTTAGTTAATCCTTTCGCTTTTTTCATCTCAACAAATAATTAGGAATTGCAGGAGTAAACGGGCGTAGAATGTCTATGTTGATTATCTGGCATCTTATCAACTTAAATAAACCAATCAAAACTCCTGTTGAATATGTTGGGATTGGTGTTATTTTAATCTTTTCTAGCCACCCAAAGCACACCGACGATGGCATCTAAACGCTACAGCACCCTTGGACGAGCCTCGGCCTCTCCTGCGTTCGAGGACAAAGGTTGTTTTAGTTGATCCGATTGATGGTGGTTGTTAAGACAAAGCGCAACCAAGAATTCTTAATTGTATTTTAAGCTATCTATTCTGAGTAGTACAAGTTAGGTTACCTGTACACCCAATTCTCAGACGTCTGAACACGAAAAGTTTTTACACCCTGGCCGTTTTGCTTGTTTTCTGGAATAACTTATTTGTTGTTTACGATGCCAGATAGTGCTTCAAATTGCTATTATGCAAAGCTGGATTTATTGTACTTGAATCCTGACTTTAGAGCTAAACTAGTTCTTATTAAAACCTGTGATACATTTTGAGTATCCTCATAACCTGACTTGTGCAATGAGCCTGCAAAGGGATTAAAGGTGATCGAATTGCATGATGTAATTTTCAGGCTGCCTTTATGGCTATGTCTTGTATTCGTGTGAGCTAAATTCAGAAATAACCGTAAAGTTAGCTTTACTCCGTGCTTGACATCTCGGAAGTCGTAAAATGGCATGAATATTATTGCGCCTCTGACTAGAACCGGACTCTAACAGTTTTAACAATGACGACATGATGTGTATGTGGTAGGTGGGTAGTGGAATGCAAATACTTTGACCCCGTGATCACATGGTGTTTGAAATGCGGATGCTTCGACAAAATAGAAGGTTTATCCAATTAATTTGTGTAGTTTTTCGGGTTCTCTTTATTATTTTCATCTCTCGACGAGTATGACCGTGCAAGGAAACCTTCGTTAAGATGGGGCAATTCACAAATACACAGAAATGCTATGCGATATTTTACTTTTAGCGGCCCCTTCCTGTGCATGCCTTTGTGCTTTATTAACTTGAACCATTGCAATACTTAGAACGGAGAGCATGTTTTAAGTGTGTGTGTGTGTAATGCCATAATGATTCGCCAGGGTTAACATTGGTTTTTGTTACTTTTAAGCCATTTGGTTCTGCACTATTTGGTATTAACACTACGTCTAGCCTATTCAACACAAAGCCACTGCCTTCGACCCGTTTTAGCGGTAACTGGACGTGCTACAATCCTCAGGTCCCCATGTTGTCTTCGATTAATTTTTTGTAGCAAATTCTAACTGGTATATGAAAACGGTGGTCTAACTTGGATTCACAAGTATCGGAACTCATGTAGTACTGGCAGAGTGCATGGCTTTGTTTTAACAGGAACGAGATGTGTGAAGATATGCGCACTTAGAGATTGCAGAACACTTCGCTTAGCTAACAAGTGCATGGAAGCATATGTGAAATTCTAATTGTCACTAAGCCGATCTCAAATTCCGTTGCATTTCTTATGTGACCTCGGTCGCAAGAAATGCAACTTAAACGGTTCAGCACTACTGTATTCAAGTTTTTTTAGTCGTAATCAACGATAACCTCTTGAACCCATGGTTTTGATTATAGAGGGTAGTCGTTGGTCGACGCTTCCAAGAGGCACCTCTGGGTCTCAAAAGAGCTCCGGTGAAGCTTCCAAACACGGTACCTGGAATCGACTGACTCGGCGGATGCACAGAGGTTCAACTAGCAGCAAAAATTAATCTCCGTGACAGCATTGACCAACTTAATTTGTCATTAACGCTTTAAACATTTTCGCTATAGCTTCATTTTGAGTAAATTTGCAGTTATACAGTACAAATGCCATAGCTTCTTGTGAGAGTCACGATCACGCCACCAGAAAACCATTCCTGCTGATCGCCTTTGTGCCACCTCAGCTGGAAATGCAATAAGCTCATGTGGTAAAGTTGACAAAGTTAAGCACTTCAAAAGCCCTTGAAAGCACTGAGCAGTGTATACTTTGTTATCATCTCGCTTTGCCAAAACTTGAGCTATTCTCCTATTCATTGTGATTGGTAAAAAGTTGGTCATTCTTTAGAAACTTGGGGAAATGTGTTGTTGGTTAGCCTTGGGGGTTTTTCACAGTACGCTAAGCCAAGCGAAAGTTGTACGACGTTCGTGGCAGACCCCAGCGATTACCAGTCACCGTGAGAATTTTGTGTCTTGGCTGCGTAAAGTTACTGGTTGTTGGAGTAAGGCTTTAGTTGCAAGTTTTTTCCACCAATAGGGCTGCATTTTCTGGCAGGTCGGAAGAGCCGTCAAAAGAAATTCCGAGTGAGAAAAACGACTATTTTTGGTGTCCACAGGATTCGCTTAAAACTACCAAATTTGGCTTGTCCAATTTTACATGCCAAAGGTGAACTTAAATAAAAGCCTGAAACTGGGAAAGTGTGAACAGTCATTCATCGTCTTCCCTTAACTTTTCTGTAAGAGGTGCCTTCTTGAATCTGAGTCGAGAACGACAAGTGAAGAAAGATAAGACCTGATGTCATTATTTTCTGAAAACTATTTGTTGAGGTTTTTGGCCCTAAAAATGAGTTTTCTTTCACAAATTGACTTTAAATCGACTTTGTAAAAGCAACGTATTTCGATTAATTATTTTAAAACAGGAAAAACAGCATTATCGGTCACTTATCGTGTCCATCTTCATTTAATTTTCTTAATTTTAAAGAGCAGACTGCATGAAGATAAAATCAAGTAGCTATTGCATGTTTATAGACTTATCGGACAAGTGAATTTAATTTACGGCTTGACGCCATCTATAGTTGTACCACGTGATGTCGGGCTCAACAATAAAGTAACAACGGTTTCTTCATCCATAAAAGTGGTGTCGAATTGAATTTTCGTGAGGGTCTAATTGTACTATTTGCTATTTATTTACTTCACCCACATTTGATCTGAATGTCTAGGTAGATTATTTGGCATCTTACCAACTTAAATAAACCAATCACAACTCCTGTTGTATATTTTGGGATTGATGGAACATAAGAAGTCATGGTCCTAACTGTATGGTCGTGACCTGTCCTGTGTCCCACAATGTTGGAACACAGCGTTTCACAGAAACCAAGTTTGCCATTCAGCTACCAAGGATGAAGGGGATACGGAAGTGTAGGCCAAGTTTAGCCCATGGTTTCCAGAATAATAGGTAGAAGTAAGGAAGCGTGCTTGTAAAAGATGCGAGTGAAGGCAAACGATGAAATGTATCATTAAATAACGGCTATTTTAAAAGTCTGCTTAACAGTTGGACTGGTTTGATTCTTTTGGTGGTTCTTTTGTATTACCTGTGGTTTGGCTTTTGAAGCCTAGAGCCTTGCGAGAACGAATTTAAGCACAAGAAGCCGAGAAATTGAGTTCCTGTCCAAGCAACGTAACCATTTAGCGTTCACCCACTACGACCCCATCGTGGGCGTTGTAGTGCAGTTTTAAGACAGTCCTCTGTTCGTTAAAATTAACTTATTAATTACGCCCAGGAAAACACAGTAAACTGGAATGATTCTAAACTGAACAAAAAATAACCCATGATTTGAAGTTGGATACAACTTCACAGTCATTCCCACTTTTGATTTTGAGTTTATAAAGTTGTGTGTATTTGAAGAGATTAATCTATTGTCTTGTGGCGGCGACTTAAAGTTGCTTATTCCGGAATTCATGAACGTTACTAGCTTTTTCTGTGATTTCAATACATCCTCTTTACTCTGTTTTCAGCTAGTTTTTTTCAAAGCGCAAGGGATTCCAAACTGCGCTATTTCGTGCTAATTAGGGTTCATTTTAATGATGAAATGCTAAGGATGATTTATCTGGGGCTGATGTCAGTTGCATTAGAATATCACAGTCATGCAGCAGCTATGTCGAGATGCTTTAGTCAAACATAACACTACACTTTTCAGATTTCGCTCTGAAGAGCATTCAGTAGAAAAAAATTTTTTGGTTTCTTTAGAACTAACCACGCTGGCTCATTTAACTTTCGAAGTGGTTTCTGTGTGCAAGTGTTGCCCTAGGCAATCCAATTTTTACTAATAACAACTGTTTACATTACATCTGAACGACCACCACAAGCCTTCACATATGCCTCGATATCGGAATGACAACTGTTTATCCCCTTGCTTATGACACTTGTTGCAAATCATAAAAGCTATTGTTTATTGCCTTTTTATGCACAACAGCCCAGCACAAGTTGCACTTGGTTGCAAAAAAACTACTGAAATTCGAAAGTGACTTTTTGCGCATTGTTTCAAATAGAACAAATATTTAATTGCAGTGTGAGTCATTTACTAGTAGGTAAGAAAAAACAGTACCGTTAGCAGGAAAAGGTACCATACGCTAAGCTATAAACTGACATTTTAACTCCTTAGTTTTAAGATCAACAAATTGCGTTCATTGGATATTATTGATGGCGCAAAATTTGCCTGTATTTGAACTTGTCGGTTTGGCAAAATGTGGTTCAAATGCTTCCGGGATAAACATATTATTTAATCCAATCAAATAACTGACAGCATGTAAAATGTTGTAAATATTTTTATACACTGAGTAATGCGTAAAAAAACAAATTTAGACTGGTTTACTATTTGGTAAATTTCTTGGCAATTTCCAATAGGCATTGATTTTAAAACCGACTCGAGAAGACTTAATTTGGCATTCCCCAGATGTGCAGCTACCTGAGAGGCATTCACACAAAAGGTTGTGTGGTTCTTTTTGGTTGGCTAACGCAAAATAGATCCTAACCAACTTACAAAATCAAATATTTTCTGTCACAAAATAATACTTTTGACAGGAGACATACAAAACCCCCAATATTTCTGGTAAAATACTTATTTTTAAGGTTTCACAGATGCCAGTGGTCATTCGAGTTCCCAAATGTGCGTTATTTTACGTCTTCCCCAGAGGTTTATAACATAAAGCCTACGAAGTAACTTTTATTCATTGCAATTGGTCGATAATGCTATTTTTTGCTGGTAAAAGTAACCACCTCAAGTGTTTGCTCCCAATTTTTATGCAAATTATCCTTTTAGCATTAATTTTTCCTACATGGTCTCTCAAATTGCTCATTGTTCACACTCGAAGTGCATGATTCATTTAACTTACTTTACTTAAGCACAAAAATGAACCATGTATTGGATTAATCCAACATTATACTCGATTTGTTTTGCAAATTCAGTAAGCAGTCACCTACGAATTCCTCATGAC